AAGTAGTGTGAGGGTATCACACAGTTGCTCCAAGTAAAGTGTCTTACCTTGTTCCTCCAACTGAATGTCTAGGTTTCTTGGGTCGCTCTGAAGAAAAATTCTTCAGCTCAAGGACGTGATTATCTTCCATCACCAGGAGGGTGAGAAAGGATTTCAAATTACTTTTCCTTCTCTAGGAGGGAGAAAAAGATTGATGGTTCGTTGCCATCGCCTGGAGGGTGACAAGGCTTTCGGCTCTTCGTCACACTGGATTTGGTGGAAGGGATTTGTGTAAGAACTTCTCCGCCTTGCTATGAGGGAAAAAGAGGAGACACTATAGTGATAGTGCAATACTCAGAGTGGAGGACTCCGGGGAGTGGACATAGGTTATTATTTGACTAAGTCACTATAAATCTCTGGTGTGTTTATTTTGATTTATATTTTATGTATTTTAATTTATGCACCTTAATTTCATTATAACGGCTTGGTAAAAATGGTACTCAACTATTATCTCTACTAATTATAATTTCATCAACATTATTTTCATGTTTTGGTAGATTCATCTTGCTTCTGCACTAAGTGATAATTGCTACTTATTTTTTCGAATAGTTAAAAAAAATCTAAAAAAACTATCTTTATTTTTAAGTTAAGTAATTAGTTTTTACATTCACCAATTCACCCCCCTCTTGGCGTGCCTAGGGTCAAGTTCATTTAGGCTTAACATCCTTATCAAACTTTCAATTGGTATCGAAGCGGTACTCCAAAATAGTGTTTTAAAAAGCCTTGAGGAAAATGATCCATAACATATTTCAGAAATACAAACACCACATAAGGCTACTCTATTATTCGTCCACCTTTGTTTGACAACATACCGTTTGATTTATGAAAAATATGCATGCCTACTTTCTTGTAATTTATTGATTTTTGCATGTGGGTTATAGTACAAGAGGGCTATTCTGCATCATATCGTCTTATCTATGGCATTAAAATTGAGTTATCATTTAATAAATGGAGCAATGAGAATAAAGACATAACTCAATTGAATGCAAAATATTTAAACTATTTTTTATGTGCTCTTAATTCAAAAGATTATATGAGAGTCTCTACCTGTACCACTAACAAGGAAATCTAAAAAAAATTGTGTATCACATATGAGGGAACCAATAAGGTTAAACAATCTAGGCTTCTATTGCATGATTATGAACTCTTTCGCATGAAACCTATCGAAACAATTTTAGATATATACACTAAGTTTACAAATATCGTAACATCTTTACATGTGTTAGGGAGAGAGCTTTCGAACTCTGATAAATTAAATAAAATTCTTAGATATTTTCCTAGTAGCTTTGATGCTAATGTTATCACCATTTGTGAATCAAAGGATCTTAACATTTATTCTATAAATAACTTGTTAGGCTCACTCATTGCCTATAAGCAATATGTGAGTTAAAGACTGCAAAATGCAGAAGACAAGAAGAAGGGCAAAATGGTAGAACTAAAAGCAAATGAGTTAGAAAGAGACAACTCTGCAGCTGAAGGAGAAGATGACATAATACTGATGCTACGACAATTTAAAAGCTTCCTAAGAAGAAAACAAAAATGTCATCAACAGTGGAATAAATGCAAACCAAATAAGAATTCTAAGGTTTCTTTTGATATTATTTGTTTTGAATGCAGGAAAATGGGGCACTTAAGGACGAATTTCCCCAACCTAAAAGCTCACATGATCAAGAAGAATAATGAAGAAAGAACAAAGTTCAAAAATGACAAGAAACAAACTTAAAAGGCACTTTGATTAGACTCCACTTTAAAATCATCATAAATAGAAGTAGAAGAGGAGGTAATCAATCTGTGCCTTATGGCAGATGATAATCTTGATCATTCTGATCAAGAGGAGGTATGTGAGCTTTTTTACAATGAGTTATTTGAAGTTTCAGAAAAAATTCAAATGCATATAGGATGCTTAAGAAAATATATACTAGTTTAAACAATGATTATTTGAAAGACATCTATTGCTTAGAGTATGTTTAATCTTTAAAGTATCCATGATATTTTTAACTTCTCCATACTTCACTTGGTTTAGGTATATGGTGTACATAAATTAAAAATTTCTTGTGATTTAGAGCCTTGACGGATGAATAAAAGAATAATTAGATAACTTAAAATATAGTCCGACCATAACATAGATGTATGGTGGTTATGATTATGAGGTCTTAAGGAGATAAAAGAACTATAATTAAGGAGAATCCTAGCTTATGCTCCCATAAGCTCGACAAATATAAGGAGTAATTTTGCTCTCATCCATAGTAGTAATAGCTAGTAAACATCTCCAAAACATGTACTTTTAACAAATCATGAGATCATAATTTCTAAAATTAGTGAATTTATTTTTTGCATTTGAAGATTTTTACTTTTCACATGTACTACCTATTTAAACATTAAGCTTGATACGTTATCATGAAATTATCTTGATTGGGTACAAATCTCGATGCAAAACCCAACTCGGAAACTTCAAAAATTAAATTTGGAAGCACCTGAACTCCGATTTCAGCGAGCTTATAGTTAAACTGAGAGTCTCGGAAATACAAACCCAACGACACTAAATTCAAGCCAATCCGAGCCCAAATGGATCCAAATCAAGGACCCGAAGCGCTGTTGGAAGGTTCAAACCACAATTTGAGTTACCAAACGGTCTCCAATTTTAACAAGCTTATACTCGAATCGAACGGCTCGACGAGACAAATCTAACGAGCCCAAGATCGCCAAATTCCAACATCACTAAGACCTTCAAATGTCCAATAAACGGTGCACAATCGAACCGTCCATTCGACCACTCCCTATTCGCCCCTGATCTCACACCTATTTACAAGCCATGCCACTCCAAAAAAACTGTAAATAGAGCCCTCATTCTTCACAAGAGAAGGGAAGCAAGAAGAGAAGGAAGAGAAGGAAGAGAAAGAAGAAGCTCCTCCTCGACCACCGTCGGAACCTCGCCGGACCACCGCAGGAGCCTCGTCGGACCACCGCTAGAGCCTCGTCGGACCACCGCTGGAGCATCTCCGGACCACCACATGAGGCCCTCACCCTCGCCGGAACTTCGCCGGATCGGACCACCGTTGGAGCCTCGCCGACAGCCGGAGCCTCGCCGGACCACCGCAGGAGCCTCGTCGGACCACCTCCAGACGATCCAATTTTCGTCCCGACGAATCATACAACCAAAACTGATTTTCTGCACAACCTGTACCGATCGTCCCGGACGATCCAACTTCGTCCCGGACGAACCTGGAGCAAAAACTGATATTACACCCTGTGCTCAACCAGGACACCTCCTCAGGCCCGGACTTCTGCTGGGCCACTACCTGACGCCTAGAGTTCTACCAGAGTTTCACCCTACTATAACGGTCTTTCAGACCTTGGTCTCATGCCGACTACTGTCCTCCCGACCTCCGTCGCCTACTCTGGTCACTCCGACCTCCATCACTAGACAACGGTCACTCAGACTCCGGTCTCCTGCCGACTACGGTCCTCCCGACCTCCGTCGCCTACTATGGTCATTCTGACCTCCATCACCAGACAATGATCTTTCCGACCTCCATCCTATCGACTATGGTCGTGCTGACAAAACAAATACATCTATTGTAACTCCCACCATGTAATACACTCTATATGATGTACATTTGTGACATCAATCCAAGGCCTTCTCCCTAAGAAGGCCTCATTTGTAATCGACTACAAATACTAGTGGATTCATTCAAACTGGGCCATGCCCCGTGGTTTTTCCCCCTTTTCAGGGGTTTTCCACGTAAAAACTCTGGTGTCTCTTATGAACGCTACACCCTCTCACTTATCTGATTGTGTGCTGGATCTTCGTACAATGCTAAGACGTTAAACTATATATTTCTCTACCGCCGCAAATACACCAGGATGCAATAAAGCTAGATAAATTTAGTAGTTTAGTAGGCAATAGTAAAGTGAACTTAGGATATTTCTAATTTGTGCTCATGAGATCGACACTTTTAAATCATTATATTACTTGATACAAAAAATGCACTTGTGTTAAACATAACTTGAATCATAAAAAAAAAAAAACTTTCATTAGAATATTGAATAGTGTGTAAGCTAAAGCTCAAATATCTGCATTTGCATAAATTAATTGCAATAGATGGCCTGTCAATTGTGCAATGTAAATTTTTTGAAATTATAATCATGTGTCGTAAAAATTTACAAAACAATATAATTTAAGACAACATAGATTTTAACGTTAAAAATATGGGTAAATGATGCTTCATCACAAAATTCTTTCGATCAAGCATGAATTTTGATAAAATATTTGAGTTGAAAACTTCTAGACTAAAAATCAGAATCATCTGAAATCTAATTTCATTAGACTTATAGTCAAAATAATTGTTTCAAAGAAACAAACCAGATAACAAAATATTTTGATATGAGTATGACTCTAAATAAATCCAAATCTAGCACCTCATGCATAGTTAGAATTTTTTTTTAACATTAATTTAAGGATAAAATGATATCTAAATCCCACGTGTTTAAAATGTGCGTTCCAAGAAAAAGAATCCAACAAGTTAATGATTGCTCAATTATTATATGATTAAGACATGTAAATATTGATAATACTATTTCAAATAATACTTAATAATATAGGATATTTTATGGAGAATTTTGGGTGCTTTGTCTAAAATTATTAAAATATTACTTAAAGAAAATTATAAATATATCATAATTCTTCACATGAAATGTGACTTTGGCTACGACATTGACTTTAAATTAGAAAGAGTTTATATATCTAAAGAACTCAAAAAACATTGACATTCGATTAAATTAAATCATATTAATAATTTATAAAACATATTAAACATAAAAACTCTATCCAATTAAATTAAATCATAAATAAATTTAATTTATTTAAATTAATATAATCTCAATAAATTAATGTCAATCGTTAATTTAATTTTAAATTTTAGTTAATAAATGATAAGATTAATAATTTTAAAATACGAAACCCTCCCTTTCTCTCGGGATCCCGCAAACCCCTCGACGACGAAGAAGCGAGGAAGTCGGGACCGGAGATCGCCGGAGAACGCATCGACGTGACCAGCGGCGCTTGAAGAAGAAGAGGAGTTTGTGAGACTTGCAGATTTAAGTTTGGTCCGCCCAATGGCAGGATTTGCTAAATGCGGGATTTAAGACAAAACTGAGGTGCAACGGGATTTAAGATTCTGGAGGATTTAAAATGGTCATTTGTACAGTTTGGCAGGATTTAGCTTAAGTCTGTTCCTCATCTCTCGATCTTCAACCCCTAATTTAGCTTAAATACTGCGTTCCTGCGACCAAACAACCCCTAGCTAGTTTTTGATTTGATAGAAGGTAATGGCGGGACAATCTGATCCTCATCTCTCGATCTTTACTCCGGCAGAGGTTTGTAATATTGTTATCTCTCCCGCGAAAACAGTTTTTTTGTACTTATTAAGCTTGATCTTGAATTTTGCGGCTTTGGGTTTTACTGTTTTGGTTTCCATGGATTTAATGGAATTTTTTTTTTTGAGATTTAATGGAATTCATTTAACAGCTTTAATCATATTAATAACTTGAGTTCTTCTTCTATGATGAAGAGAGTAATTAGTAAATTAAATATTAATACTAGAGGTTGATATATATTTACAGGTTGAATTTTTGGCGGAGGACGAACTTGTTGAGATAGTACCGAATATAAGGATGGATGCTCTGAACATGATCTGTGTAATTTTGCCTTTGCTCTGTTGAACATTTTAATTCGTTTATTTGTTTTTGGACAGTTTTCTTCGTGTTTGAGATTTATGAATCTGATCGTGATCATTGACCTCATTAACAGGGCGATTTTGGCCCTTTCTTTCCACAAATTTCTACCAAGGTTCCAATATGGCTTGCAGTTGCGCTGAAGAAGCGCGGAAAATGCTCAATTCGTCCGCCGGAATGGATGTCTGTTGGTCTGAACTTCTCCCTTGGTTATATTTTAACGAAAAAGAATTGATGTATCTAGATCTTCTACCACGATAACGTTATTTTATTGGAGAAATTTTTGTTAATGGTTCCATCATCTAACAGCTCAACGGTTCACGAAAATTTACCATGTTGGTGAACTTAAGCAATAAGCTAGCACTGGCAGCTAACTTTAGAATATGCATATTGAGATGAACATTTTATTAGCAGTGAGCATGTCCGATTGATAATGATATTTGATTGCAATTTTAACAATCGAGCATGAAGATATAGTTAAATTAGCCCAAGATTTTCATGTACAAATACAATAATGCATCACACTTTCCCTAAGCTGTATTAAAACCATCTCCAACCGCCATTCGAATGCTAAATCACACACGAAAATTCGGTAGGTGAACAGTGCGATGCCAATACTGTTCACCTACGCCAATTTTTTGTGTTACGGAATTTGCCTAAGAAGCGCGCGAAAGAGGATACAAATGGTTACCTTTGGAACGAGATGAAGAAGAAGCACGCGAATGAGGAGAAAGAAATGGACTTCAATTAGAGATGAATTAATGCATTTTGGAGCTTTACTGCATTTTGGAGTGGAAAATGGGTTTTTCGGTTGGAGATGCCCTAATCATGTTGCTTATTGTTTATGTTTCTTTTGTTATCATGCATTGTATTTTTGTTTTCTATTTTGAGACATTAAGGATGCTAAGTTTAGTTGATTTTGTGCATTTTTCTTTTCACTCACTCTCTCTATTTATCTATATTTATATATATGCTTGCTTGGGTGAGTACTTGAAAACAAAACTCTAGCATCTTTAGTGATGAATATAGTAAAGATTGCCACAACCTTTGTCCCATTGGGTTCAAATATTTCCTTTATTACTTGTGCTGCCTGATCAGTGGCATAGTATATCTGTTCTATTTTTTTATTGCATTACTTTTCACAATGGAAGGCTTCAAGTTGTTAAGAGATTAAACTGCGATAATAGCTTTTTATTGACCCTTGTTATTCCTGGTCCTTGCTGGTATGATGCATGATAGCATGCATGGAGTGTGATCACCTTTAGGTCATTGCTATTGTTGATGTTTTTAACTATTATGCCATCCTTTTTTTAAGAATAGTTTTAAGTGCTGAACAAATCTATCCGTGTGCTATCATACAGATGCTAATTGATTACTGTTTATGCCAGAGAGGCTGACCCATGTGTTGGAAGCAGAAAGGGAATCTCCACGAGAATTTCAACCTTTGCCTTTCCATTATATTGAATTATCAAAGCTTTTGTTTGAAAAGTATGTAAATCACGCCATTTATTATTTTGTATCTTTGTGCTTTTTATCTCTTTGAAAGCATTAAGCTTAGTTGGTATTGGTTGTAGAGCTCATGATGACATCCCAGATATATATATGGTGAGTCAGGACATGCCATGGTTGATGTGTCCTTATCTAATAGCCTATGAACTTTTATTCATCACCTGAGACATGTTTTTGCAGGTTAGATCTTTGATTGAAGACATTAGGGATGTGCGATTTCACAAAGTTGAGATGGGTTTAGAGAAGATCTCTGGTCGCACGCATGCAGTGAAGGTAGGTTTGTACGTGCTAGAGTGTATTTTGCTTTGATTGAGTTTATCCTATTCTTGGGTTGTTTTTAAAATTAACTACTGCAATGAGATTCAGACTTATTATGAAAATACATAGGTATACATATTCTGTCTTGTCATCTAAATGATCTTCTTAGGTAAATTATATTTGTTTGTTGCAAGGTTTTAAGTAGGCAGGTTCATTTTGCTCTCAACCGGGACAAATCAGAAACCCACAAAAGAATGTGGTTTTTGCTAGTTTCAACCAAAACTTTGATGGATTGAAAAGTTTCTATCTGAAGCTAAGGTTGGATAAAATGTCAAAATTATGGCTGAAACTATGGAAACTTTAATAGTCCGCCTAATGTAACTTGGGTATGCATTCACAAATTTGGAAAATATTAGCATGAAAGTGCTCCTGAAATAAATAATGATATTTTCAAACTGCAAAATTATCAAAAAAAAAAAAATCCACTACTGGTCACCGGATCAAAACTAAAATTGAAACCGAGTTTTAATATTTTGGTTTGTAATATGAGGTGGCTTTTATCTTCTTGGTGTAAGCTATTGGGAAAATTACTTGGGCATCACGTTAAAATTTGGCAATTTACAAAAATAATACAATAACACCAAAAAAGTAAATCCACATATTTGTGCTTGCCATGTCTAAAGCATTAAGAATTTCCTGCAAGCAAAAAAATACTGTTTGTAGTTTTGTTTGGTTATTTGACATTTGGTTGACATTATTATTAATGTATATAGCTAGTTGTTAGTTTTGTAAATCCCCAAATTTCTGGTGTTACGCTGAAATTTCTCCTATACAATTTTTTTTTTCTTTTCTTTGCATGCTATTTGGTTCATGAGCATTTGGAAGAAGTTTTTTCATACGCTTTGAATAAGTAAAGCACTTCAAAACATTTCCTAATTTGGAGAATCTGCTTTGTGACTGCTATCTTGTCAGATTAATCCATCAGTCGTTCATTTTATGATCATTCTACATCCTCCACATCCATGAAGATTGTTTGTTAGAATATTAGTCTCTTAATATTTCATAAATGGAAACAATTCTTTTTCTCAATCAGTAAGAGCATCTAGTCGGACATCATGATTGCTGCGTGAAAGTTGAATGATGAGGATTCATATAGACAATTCATTGAGAAGTGAAAGGCATTTCTGATTTTATCTAAATTTGCAATATAAATATTTTGAAATTTTTTCTTGCATCATCAAACAAACTGATAATCATCTCATAAATTTGCCTGCCTTCATAACATTTAAAATTTCTTTCACCTTTGATGACTGACAGCAATAGTTTTTTACCAGGCATTTTCAGACTCAGCTTTTCCTAATTTGATTTGCAGCTTAAAAATCTCTCTGCTATGGAAGTAAACATTGTTCGTCCATTTATGGTGAGGGCGCTGCAGGCTTTCTATAAGCATGGCAGCCCTGAAATGATTCCACAACCAGAATTAACTGTGAGCAGGACTCAAGTTTTAGATCGTGGTCCAAGGGTTGGTTTTCTGACTGTAGCTATTTTAAGACCACACAGATTTTCTAATATATTTTTGGTAGAACTTCTGAAGATATGTTATGTGATATTGGTTTTGATAGTCATTAAATGAAATTTCATTTTTACTGCTGATTATTTAATATTTTCTGGATGCTTCACTTTATTTTATAATTTGGGTATTATTTTGTAAACCTAATTGAATATTGATGTGAAACTACATGCTGTGAATCACGAATTGCACTTAAGAAATTAATAGAAGCAATGACTTTTAGCTTGCTACCAAAACTCTTTGTTTACTCAAGTTGAGTTTAAGAATGAGACATAGATAGATTAAGTAATGACAATAAATTACATGTAGAGAGTTTATTAGCCTCACAAAATAACACCAAAAATTTAAATAATGCAAATAGCTAGCAATAATCAAAAGCCCCAAATTTAATATCTAGATCATTCACCTTGAAGTCTTTCGCTCATTTTGAAAGTAGTGGCTAGCGGAGGAAAATTGTAAGAAGGCTTAGTGATGCCACTAATAGACAAGTGATCTTGAGAGGACTCGTCGCCGGGAAGGAAGCTGGATTTGGAGGAGCAGGTGGGCGGCCGTCAATGATCCAACGTCCCTTTGACCTTTGCTCGTCGATCACGTCCACTAAGGTGTAATGGATGCGGTCGATGTAATCTTCAATAGTGTCGTCGAAATCGAAACCCACGTCAAAGAATGGTGATTGGAGGATGTCCACTTGACCTTGGTCGTCATGCACAAATCCAAAGTTCCATTCGGGTTCCTCCATGCATTCTTGCCGGGAGTGGATGGAGCATCCAAGCGAAGAGGGGAGGTGGAAGGGTTATCTGTGAGCTAGGGAGAGAGGGATGGGTTCACGGGTTTGAGGGAAATAAGGGCGGGTGAGGCTATGGGGGAAGAAACCCAAAATCTGAAGTTTATTTCAGATTTTTGAAATTGGTGGAGAGATTAATTTCAGTTTTCAAAATCTGAAATTGAAATTAATTTAGGAGGGAAGGGTCAAAGGGGGTATTAAAAGAGAATTAATAGGGGAGATAGAGGGATGAGTGGCCGGCCATGTAGAGAGGAGAGAGGTGGGTAATTTTAAGTAGGTGGGGACCACAATTAATTAATCAAAATCTGAAATTTAGATTTCAAATTTTAATTATATCATGTAACTCCCTTCTTTAAAGAAAATTGTGAGGGAATTTGAATTTAAAAAAAAAAAAGGATGTAACTCCCTTAATTAATTCCCCAAATTAATTGGCTCAATTAGGAAGGTAATTATGGAAAATTCAAATGTGCAAGGGGAAAACCAAAGGGGGCCAGTGGTATGGAAGGGGGCGGCTGGATTGGCCGGGGTGGATCTGGCCGGCGGGTGGCCGGCAGGTGGTGGCTGTTTTTTTGGCCGGCGAAATAGGAAGGGAGGGGAAAGGTGGCCGGCGGCTTAGGGTTGCTTGGAGCAAGCGGCGGCAAGGGCAAGGAGGAAAAGAGATGGAATCTTCTGAAGATTTGACGACTACGAATTTACTAACCTCAAATGTCTTCTCGTTGAATTTCCACAAGATTAGTTAGCACGAACTAGAACTCACAAAGAGATCTAGTCTTCTCCGGCGAACTCACTAAGAGATCAAGGAGGGTGAAGAACTCACCAAGAGATCTTCTTGAACTCACAAAGAGAAAACATAGTAGTAAATTTTCATTTCATCCAAACAACTAACTATTACAAGAGAAGGGCCATATAAATAGGCCTCACAATGACAAAGAAAAACAAAAGACTAAAATGCTCCTTGAGCTACAATAGCTATCAAATACTCATAAGGGCAAAAATGGAAAAAACATAAAATAAAATAAACTACTACATAAAATGATGAAAATACAGATCATGATCGTGGCCGTCGATCTCCGGTGTCGGCGATGGTACACGTGTCGAAATCTGATGTCCCCATCAAATATTCTATTTATACTTGTGTTGTTGATGATAAACTATCCTTAAATAGTTCATTTCAACTGTAACGCTCTTTGCAGGAATGTTACTATTAGCTTTCAGCTTGCATGCTAGTCCGTTATTGCTTATTGTGAAATCAAACGAGAATGGGATGCATGCTAGATAAATATGTAGTTTTATGTATGATAGTACATAACATGTTCATCATTCACCATCATCATTAGTTTTTTTCTTAACTATTTGGTTTTGGCTTTAGGAATATTTATTTTTCATGAATTCTTGTTGAGTGCTTCCTTAGTTGTTAAGCCTATTTAACTCAAATCATTTTTTAATCTTTCTTTCTAGTTTTTCCCCACATCCATCTTAGCATTATCATTTTTGCTCTAGTCAACTATTAAAAATTTTTTTGTCTAATTTTTGAATACATATATCATTGCCGACCTAGTTGCAATATTATAAAATATACCTTTAAAGCCTCCATGATATCATCATAATACTCTTTAGATACTTATTCATTTTAATACCCAACCTTAGTTTGCGTCTATATCACATTCTTGTGTATAATAGATCCGAGGTTTGTTGAGTACTTTTTTGGTTGGATGTATTTGATTGAAATTAGCTCCAACAATCATTATCCACTGTTGTTTTCATATTGCTTGTTGATCAATAAATTTTCATAAAAAAGCCTGTAATAGAGCTAGTTATATAGCAGTCTATTACTATTTGATTTAAATGCTCCTTATACAAGTTAACAATTTCATATTCTACACGTAGAAATTTTATGACGGGAGGGAATTTGAACTTTGTACTGATTATACAATTATTTCTAGCGTTGTAGAATGGTTGTCCTTATTTTAATATTGGACTACTTAAAAATCCTGAGATCATACATTTACTATTTTTAATTATGGCTACAAAGACTGGCTTGCACTGCTTAAGACAATTTTAAGAATTTGAAGCGAAGGAGCAATTTTCTAGACAGATCTAGTGCAAAATAAGTTAAGCATTGTCTAATTTACATAGTTACTTCTAAACAACCAATGCTGCATAAGCTGCTGATTGATTAAGGTAGTTTGCAGGTTAGTAATATAGCGCTCTCTTGAATAACGTAGATATTGATTTTATTATTAGATGCAGGGATTGTTGTATAGATTCTGCGGTTTATCTTACTATTCTCATGCTATACCCTTTCCCTCTCGCTATCACTTTCTCCCAATGGCATTGCTAAATATAAGGGAAAAAACTTGTTGTTTCATAGTTTTTCAATGTTAGTTTTTTTTAAACTTTCAACACTGTCAATTCAGCTATGAAAAGTCACTTATTGCTCAAGTAAATCTACCAACCAGAATAGTCTACTTGTTCGATTTCATACTTAACCTTTTTCTTAATATTTTCAGAGAGATTTGCGACCCCGCTAGATGCTTTGAAAGAGTCTGCTTTTGCCAATAAATTTCGTTCCCGTCGATGACGTTCACCTGACAGTAGATAGTCCTGCCATGAGGTAATTGCTGCAATTTTTATGTTGTTCTGTTAGAATTCAAAATCTGTATTTTTTACGCGAATACTTTTCTCTTCGCACGGTGTTTTACCATCCAAAGAGAACAATGGTGAGAGTACAAATGCCTCAGTCTTGTATTTTTTTCATCAGTTGCGTTAACCCAACATTTTTAACTACTTTGCTATAATAACCGTTACTTGGTTTTTGGCTAAACCCCCACAGATTTTATGTTATTGTACTACACCAATCCATCCAATTACAAAAAACTTAATTAAATATTTCTATTGTGAAGGATGAAATTGATAGGAGTGGAATTTGAGGTGATACCTTGTTTTTTCTCAAGTTGATGAATAGCCTTAAGTTCCAATCGAGTTCAGAAGGTACCTGAATTGTTGATGAAGAGTTATTTTTTAGATTTTGAAAAAACTAATATTTTAGTTAATTTTTTCAAATTTGAACTATATTTTTTTTTTATTTAGCTTGACCGCTTTTATTAATTTTTACCTTTTGTCTCTGCATCATTATAGATTGGATTGTGATTGGTGACATTGTAGTTGAGCCACTGTGTTTTTTTTTGCGAAATATTAATTTTAGTTTAGAGGCCTACTGATGAGAGATAAAGGGATACGCTAGCAGTATAGTATCTTTGGTCCACAATTTTTTCAAGGAGAAACTTAGTTGGATTTCCTTATGAGTTTTTCTTATTTTCTGCAATATTTCAGGCACTATTTATACTCTTGTTGGATTAATAAAAAAAAATTATTGTAAAAATTTATGTCTACAAGTTGTTGGTGTGTCAATTGATATATTTGCAAATCAACCACAAAGGTTTGCCAATCCCAACATTTTGTCAAGTCCATCGTGACATTCATTTTTCATTTAGATTTATTATAGTTCATATAGATTAATTGCATACATTTGGATGATCTAATGGACTTGAGCTATTCAAAGTTTTGTAGTCCTCATTACCATGATCATTTTGAACGTCAGTGTTTGACGATTGTCCTTTTTTCTTTAGCATATTAGAATCATGTTTATCCACCCATTACCCCTCTTGAACAACCAAAAAACCTGTAAAATCTATCCTCTCTTACCCCAGCTATCATTCTCTTTCTGAACGGACAAAATCTAATTAAAACAATAACACCCCCTATTCTTCCCCTATACCTAAAAATGTATTAAAGCAAAAAAGTGCAACCTTAACGTCAAGTCCTATTTCCATTTCTCCAATTATTTCCATGGGATCATATAATGATCGCTTGCCAAATGATGAAGGCAACTGTTATGACGAGAAGTGTTGGCTGCACAATTGATTTCAATTTCAAATTCACATAGTTATCTTGCATATAACCTAGGTTCTTCTCATGTTTAGTTGTTTACACGAGTGACATCCAAATGTATCACAGGCATCAAAAATTATATTTTGCATGCACTTCTTGTGGTTGCACCCAAATTCTCCTCATGTTCACTCAGCTGGCATTCAAAAGTGTGATAGGCATCAAAACTTATATTTGACAGACAATTCTTATGGTAACTATGATTTGACCCTAAAATTGTATCCTAGGACGTACTGACACTTTTCCTCAAAGAGGCATGTAACGTCCAACACATAGCCGACACGACACGGGTCCAACAGGCCTTTGACACATGTCAGACACGCTGAAAACGTGCCCAATTAAAAAAATATTAAATACAAATTTAGACATGCATGTCTTACACGTGTCTTAAATATTTATGAAAATTTTTAAATATAATTTCTTGCATTTAAATTTTTTATTAATTTAAAATATAAAAATTAAATTTCTTATTTCATATCCACACTCAATATCACATTTATCGAATATTATCATTTTCATTTTCCTTTGGCGGGTCATGACTTTGGTATCGATATTTTAAAAGTTTGACACTGTCTTGATATTGATGCTCACACTAGCAATTTCTACACCCACAAATTGACAACTCATCTTTGTCCAACATCTTCATAACATTGAAGACCAACGACCTTTTAACATCGATGACAAATGCCCTCTTGACATTGATGCTTGATGCTTACTTCATAGCATTGATGCCCGACTCTCGACAACATTGTCATCTCCTCTCTCGATGCCTGATATACGACATCGACGCCTGACTCTCGACATTCTAATATTAATCATTTTAAGTACAAATTCTAATTAAATGATTTTTTATTTTTAAATTATTTTTAATATTACACTTATTCAAATTTTATATACTATTTTTGAAATATAAAAATTATACCGTGTTCAACCTGTATCCATGTTCTATATTTTCAATAATTGACATATCCCGTGTTCGTATATGTACATCATAAGTTCAATTTTACTAGTTAGATGCTTATTTCTACTCCACCTGTTCAAAAACCTTAGTTGTATTTACTGAATCTTATATATTGGCCAATGACAACTCAGAATCATTCTTAGATTGCTATAACTATTAATCACATTTATAATAACCTCAATGATCATTAGTTTTATAATAAATTAGCATATCACTTCAGCTATTCATATTAACAACTAAATCTTTAACTTAAATTTTATAGTCGAAGTGATTATTTAGGCTTCATTTCGGACAATTTTCTTTATGCTGCTTAAACCAGTTTTTTAGTATAAAAATTTTAATTTTTTACGAAAATACTGCTTTAAGAAATAGTTAAAATGCCATTCCAAAAGAAGTCATAATTTTTATATTAAAAAGCTGCTTTAAGCATCAATAAGAAAGCCATTCCAAATGAAGCCTTAGTCTTCGTTTGGAACAGCTTTTTCCTGCTTTTTGAAGCAGTTTTTTGGTATAAAAATTAAAATTTTTCTACTAGAAAGATGCTTCAAGAAAAAGTTAAAAAGTTGCTTCAAAAAACAATAAAAAAGTTGTTCCAAACGAAGCGTTAATCTATTTCAACAGTAAATGAACGTTTAGCCCCAAAAAAAGAGCAGTTTAATTTAAACGTTTTGAGAATTTATTTTATCGGGATCAATGGATTGTATGTAGGGGTGTAAGTGAGCCGAGCAGGCTCGAGCTCGACTCGTTTATGGGCTTGCGAGCCGAGCTTATCGAGCTCGACTCAGCTCGAGCTTGAGCCGGCTCGGCTCGTGAGCTCGTGAGCTCGTGAGCTGGCTCGAATAAATATTTATATTTTTTAAAATAATTTTATTTTATTTATTAAATGTAAATATAAAAAAAAATTATCACCTAATTTTTATTTAAATGTTAAATATTTCATATATATATATATATTTTAAATTTTATCTAAGTTTTAAAAATCCCGTTTAAGTTTTAAAAATCCTGCCTAATTTTTCAAATTTTTAAAAATCCCGCCTA